TGTTCTTGTGTATAATTAAATATTTATAATTTATAATATTTTCATTAAAGGTGAAGAATGAATATTTTATATTGAAATGGCTACATAATAAATGATGCTCTGTTACATCAGAACTAAAATTATATATAGAAAAACAATAACTCAAACAAAAATACTTTTTACATCTATGGTAATCAATTACTTTATGTTACCTTTTAATGATATAATGGAAGAAAAGTTCATATCTATAGGACCATCGAAGAACTGGAGCGCTGTATGAGCCTGCTTCTTTTTCTTTTTCACAGATTGTTGTACTTTAATATTATAAGCCACTTTTGTTACTGTTGCACTTAGAGCATCTGACAGCCTGTTACTTTTTTTGTTTTTTGCAGTGCATATTCTTTATTGCTGCGCTCAACTGCAGCTGATGAGGCAGGTAATGATAGTAGCTTAAATGCAATATTCTGTAAAGGTTGTCCTTTACAAAATGCAGACCACCAATGTAATGGGTCAATGGTAATGTCAACTGCTTCCCAAATCAATTTATTACCGTAAAATTTATTACCGTAAAAGATTTAAAAGCCATAAAATTTTCATAATCTCCCCACTTAATAACTGAAATTCTAGTCCTACTTTGATGATTGTTGAAAGACCCTGTCTTTTTTCTGATTCTATCAAATCATTTCCCATGAATCTAGGATCCAAAAGATTTGCTGCTTTTTGAATATCACGCACACTAAATTTTCTACACCTTTCAACAGCCTCAGTTATCAATTTTATATCATTTTGAGGAATTTCACAGTCACTATTTAATAACACTTCTTTGAAGATGTTGGCAACATAGTTCCATAAACGAGGCATTACAAATGCAGGAACAAGATCTTCTTCTGCAGATTTTACTGCATTTTGAATTGCTGCTAGTAGTTTTTCGCAAAACACACTTATTGACCAAAATGACACAGTGTCATGTAAAGTATTCTTTACAGAATTTAGTTTTGCTTTATCATGTGCACTTAAAGCATAAACTCGAACATCCGAAATTGAAATACGCAAAACATCTTGAAGATCATTATTTCTTTTGATCATAGTAAAAGCAGTTGACCATCTTGTAGGCATACTTTGTAGGCAAACTAATTTAGACTTTTTCAATGTCATTTGATGTTCTAACATCACATGCTTTAGAACTTGCTTCTTTCTAAAGAAACTAGACACTTTCTTGTGTTGAAGGTGGTTAAACTGAACAGACGGAATCTTAAGTATATCTGTAGCCAGAAGCTCCAGTGCATGTGCCCCACACCCATAACAAAAAATTTCTAGGTGTTTATGTTGTACTAACTTCCATGCCTTCGTCATATTTGATGCATGGTCTGATATAAAGGCAATAGGTTTAACATGAATTTCCTTAATTACTGAGTTAGTGATGTGAAAAATATACTCAGCTGTATGATGATTGTTTTCAGGATGAAATGACTTTAGAAATATCGGTTTTGGTGTGGAAAGAAGAAACTGTATGTGATTATCATTGCAAACATCTGACCATCCGTCAGACATCAAAACACACCCTAAAGATATTTTAATCAGAACTGAAATTTCAGTTTCAATTCGTGAATGCCACAGTTTTAACAAAGGTCCTGCAAGTTTGTACCGAGATGGTGGGTTCCAAGCAGGTCTTAGTTGTCTAAAAAACTCCCTCCATAATGGATTATCAACTATTGAAAATGCAGTTGCAGTTCCATATATGGCTTTTGAAAAAGTTATTTCTAAATCCTCTGGGGTTTTTTGGTCACAAGTATCTATCCAGCATTTTATATTATGTAAATTGCGAACTGATGATAAAGAAGAACTTGGGAGAGGTTCTGTTGCAGTTGTATTAACTGATGAAGAACTCTGTACAGATTGACTACTTTCAGAAGGTGTTACAACAGAAAAATCAACTAGATCACAGAAAACTGGAGAACTATTATTGCTAACTATACTATTATTCCCATTGTCAAAATCTTCATCATCTTCATCTTCAGATGAACTAACAGCAATTTCTGCAACCAGTTTAGTTGTAAATGAGCTTCCTTTTATATTAAATTTTTGTTTTACATCATTTGATACATTTTTACAATTTTTAACTAGGTGCTGTTTCATACAAGTTGCATTGTTTACAAACTGCTTCCCGCAGAAGATACACTCACCCAGCATTTTTTTATCTGTAATTTTGCATTTGAAATAGTTCCACACAAATGTTTTTTTATTATTCACCTTTTTTTTTTATCTCAAATACAATAAATATATAAAGATCTATGTCTTTTTATACTAAACCTATATATATATATATATAAATATATATATATATATATATATATATATATATATATATATATATATATATATATGTATATATATATACTATATATTATAGATATAGTATATATATACTATATATATATTATAGATATATTATAGATATAGTATATATATATATATATATATATATATATATATATATATATATATATATATATATATATATATATATATATATATATATATATATATATATATATATATATATATATATATATATATATATAATATATATATATATATATATATATATATATATATATATATATATATATATATATATATATACAGATATATATATATATATATATATATATATATATATATACACAGATATATAAATATATATATATATATATATATATATATATATATATATATATATATATATATATATATATATATATATATATATATATATATATATATATATATATATGTATATATATAAATTCTACAACTTTCTATTACATGTAAATTTTATAACAAAAAAGAAAAAGAAAAAAATAATATGCGCAGATTTTAATAGAAATTTATTTTTAATAATTTTAAAATTTACCAGGCAGTAAATTTTCAAAATTTTCCGGTAAACTTACCGGTAAATTTTACCTTTGCAACACTAATGTGTTCCACCCCGAGTTTGGTTTTTACGCAAAGCCTGGCTTGGGGTGCCGAACTCGGGGTAGGTACCTCGAGTTTGACACGCGTATCCCAAGTACGGATTTCAAAAGTTTTAAAAGTTATTATTTTTGTGACATGCTGATTTTTTTTTAGCTGATTTTTTTTTTTTTAGCGGATTGATAGCGTAATATAAATTAAATAAAACTATTTTTGATTATTAAGATTTGCGTTATAAAAAATAATAAAAGTACAAATATTTATTTTCGATGTTCTTCTTTAAAATTATGGCTTTTTCTGTAAAGATTTTAAACAAAATGAAATATATTTTTTAGACAAACTTATATCAATGTTTCAGGCGAACATAGAGTTGAGTTAGTATGATAATAAAGTTGTATTCAAAAAATGTTCAACTTTAGTACCATTTTATTATTTTTTTTAAATTGACTAATTTTTATTGGAGCTTCCGTAAGTTGCCTGCATTCTTTACGCACTCTCGGTGAATTTCCTCTTTTTTTTTACCAACAAGGGAAACTTTAAGCTCAATATATTAATAATAAGCTTGGTAAAGAGAGCGCAAAAGCGAAAGTTTTTCCTACTGGCAAATAGAACAAATTTAAACTGGAATCATAATTCATTATGAAAACGATATTTATTGCATATTACTATTGTATTATAAAAAACGATAAACGGTCACTAAATTAATTGGATAATATTTACAGGTTTTATTGAATGTAACTAGACCTATAGCAAAATAAACATTTTGTTGCGGGAAAAAGTTTTTATGGAAAATTATATTTATAGATTTTACAAAATAAGTTTTTTTTTGCAATAAATATAGAGTTTTTTCATAAAACAAGTTATTAAAGTATTCATTTGGAAACATAATATGTGAAAACAGATAACATTTTAACAAGTTTAGTAAAATTCAAAAGAATGCAGATTAAAAAACTTTTATAAACTTGAGCATCATCAAGTTAAAGCAATATTAAATTATTTAATAGAAAGTTTATCACATTAAACCATTTTGTTTAAATTGTATTTTCTTGCAGCATATTGTTGAAGGGTAATTACTGTATTTAACTTCAAATGCTTATAAACACTAATTATTAACAAAACCAACTCATCACCGACATCAATGTGGATATCTATCATCTTATCTTGACGTGAAATGTCACCATATGCAAATGAAAAATCTCGAGTGTCTTTGATGGCATCGTCTGAAACTAGATAATGAGTAATATCACCATTTTGAAGCATTTTTTTAAAGTGGTCCAGAAATATTTCTTTTTCTTCAAATGTAATGGACAGTTCCGTTGCTAAAAATGCAACAAATTAAAAGAATATATTTTTTAAATTATAATACAGTCATTTCTCCATATCTCAAACCTCCAAGGGACCAAGAAATTAGTTCAAGATAGCAAATGTGCGAGTTATCGAAAGTATAATATGATTAAGGATTCAATGGGATTCAAAAAAAGTTGGAGATACTCAAAAGTTAGAGATATCTAGATATCGAGAGTGAATGTATTTAAAACAAACGTCATTTACAGTAAAAGTTAAAATTAAATAAAAAAAGAAGATACAAACACATTGCCATACACACACAAGGCAAGCAAAAAATGCCTCCAATAAAAAACAAAAAGCATGTTTATAAACTTTTTTGCTATTGTATTTTCGTTATTATAATAAATATTATAGATATTTTAAAAAACAACATAAAAAACAACTCACTATTTGAAATTTGCACATTTGAGACTTCATCTCTTTTAAATGCCATCTTGGGAATTTTTTTTATGCAAATTTAATTATGCAATTACTTTTGCCACACTCAACAGAAACAAAATATCCAAGAATGCATTAGAAGACAGTTTAATTTATACTGAACTTTATGCAAGGCAACATGGTGAAACTTTCTTTTTATTTATTATAATTTATTTATATTTATTAAAATTTATTATATTTATTAAAATTTATCATAAATTAAATTTAAAAATCTACTGCAGTTATGATTTATAAATAGTAAGTAATTTATATACTGTGATATAATGTTACCTGAATCTTCGTCTTCATTTATATTGTTGCGATTAAACTCAAATAATTTTTGCTCATTGATTGCTACAAATATACAAAATAGATATTCTTATTTATTGCAAAGAACTTGAAAAAACAAGTATTTTGAAAGTTGTTGTTGGTTTGTAACATTCTTATTAGAAATTACTGAAAGTTAAACTAACTATACTTAAGGTTAAACTTACTGGAAATTATTGCCATTTGAGTATCTACTGATTCAGTTAAACTATCATCATTCCCTAAGATTTAAAAAGCAGTATTTGTTTATAAAATGTTCAATGAATTTGAAGTTCAAAATGAATTACTTAATTACATTTTATTTCAAAGGAGAAACTGCCACAAAACTATAACAAATCAAAATCCTCCATAACGCTCAGTTGATACTTCTCCTGGTACTCAGGCGTTAAGTACTCAGTTGTACTTAATGCCTGGAAGCCTCAAAAACCAATATGATTTATATACTATTCATACAAAATAGTAAAATCTAATTTTCTATTAATGGTGTTAAATAAAATAATTCAAAGCTCCAGAAAATAATTGGTCTAAGGTTTCATTTAACTTACTTTCACTCTGTACAGAAAAATGGGGGTTGTTGTTTTTGCAATTTTTTGTTTTTTTTTATGACATGGTGAGACACATAGTATTCCATTTTCAAAGCATCGACAGTGCTTGGTTTGGCAAGCTTTTTTACATCGACAAAAGACTACTTTACTAGTGATTTCATTTAAGACGGCCTCACTTAAGCTAACATTGGCATCACTTTTAACTTTGACAATACTGCTGTATGGCATTAAGTGGGTGGCATTAAATCTTTTTTCAAGAACTCCATGTGATGTCACCAAACGACTTATGAAAAACAACACATGGTAAACGTAGCATATCTGTAGAGTTACGCAATGATTTTGGTAAAGCCACACTGACATGATCACCTTCTTTGAAAACTGCAACTTTAAATTTTTTTTGTTTATTATACTTTTTAACCATGAATTTTGCATTTTTTTCAAGATTACTTGCTTTTTCATGGCAAAGGTTCTTGCGAATTGGACAAGTTATCTAAAAACACAACTTGATATAAAAACTTGAATAAAAAAATTAATTCGAAAGATTTTTTTTAACTGAAAAACATTAACATTATAAAATATTTTTTTAAACCTTCATCCTATCTTTAGTATTTTCTTCAGACTCATGGTGGTACGAAAAGTCAACAATACCACAGTCTTCTCCGTCAGTGAGAGTGTTATCACTTAAGCCACCTTGATACAAAAATAAAGAAATAAAGACGATCAAAAAATATTTTGTTTACTGAAAACAAAATATTTCTAAGTATTTGAAAACAAAAAATTCAATTAAAGACAAGAAAACTGAAAGTTTTAATGGTTGTCAAACATTTTTCTTTGACAACAATTATAATTAAGACCACAAGTAATAACAAAGTAAACAGTAAGTTACCTTCAATATCACTTAGAGTTCCACTGCATTCTGCAGTGTTACTACCTCCATCACCTGGAAAATAAATAACATGAGGCATTTTTCTAATTAAAATGTACATTTGCTGGTCTAATTAAAATGCACAGTAATTTTTAATATATTAGATAATACATTTTGCTTTTGCAATGCTTTTGTAAGTTCTGCTGCATTCTGGAGTGTCAGTTGTCCTACCAAAAGCAACATCTAGTCAATAACAAAAATTTCAGATTTTTATAGTCAAAATGAATAAACCATGCAATATTTTATAACAGAAACTTTCACACACACACAAAATGGAATTTCAAATAACTTATTTGATTAATGAATAAAAATGAAAAAAGTAATCCAGGTTTTTTATTATAAAATCAACAATTTTGTGACACAAATGACAAAAAAAGATAAAAAAAAAAAAAAGAAATTTATGCTCATCCTGCTATATTGCAAAAAATGATTTTTTAATACGATTGACATTAAACTCACTCAAATAGGATTGACATTTAACTCATCTTTAAATTTACCTTGATTAGGATTCTCAATTATGTTTGCAATATCATCTTCATTTACTTCTTTACCCTCTAAAGGGAATGGCCACTTATTTTTTGGCCAAACAAAATCTCATAAGGTGTCGTTTTTATGCTCCTTACATATGTAGTATTCATAATATCTATAAAAGTTTAGTTAGATTTTTAGGGGGAAAAAATATTATTACAGTAAATTGCTTGTCAAAATGATAAAAAAATTTGTTACATAAAAAAATTCTATCATTGTAGTGGCAATAAAACTGATTAACTTTGAGCATAAGCTTTTCATTAAAAAGAAAAAAAAAAAACATTAATTTATATTAAACTTACATTGAATTTCAACCAACCATTCTGACCAGTTACTTTGACCAGAATCATATTCACGAGAAGAAATTAATCGCTCTATGGTAAAGTTGCCCTGTTCAACTAAACCTTGACTTTGAGAGTGTCTTGGTGAACCATTTACAATTTGGGTTTTCCCAGGCCATGTTAACAAAAGTGATTTTATAACATCATTTACAAATTCACTACCATTGCCACTATGCAAAATTGCTGGTAAACCAAAGTAACTCAGCACAAACCTTTTAAGATTGTTTGCTGTTTCTAAAGCTGTTTTATTTCTCATAGGAAACAAAATATAAAACTTACTGAAATGATCAACAACATGACCAATATATCTAAATTCCTTATCTGGCTTAGATTCCATTGCAATCAAATCAATCTAAGTATATTTAGTATATAAATATAGTATAAATAGTCAAACTTTATAAATAGCAGAATAACATTTAATAAACAACAAAGTTATATTTAACAACAAACTGAGTATATTATTTAAAAAAACATGGTTAAAAGAACAAATGAGTATACTATTAAAAAAAAACATGGTTAGAAATTTAAAGTAAAAAACTGGTTATACTTGAAGATGTTGCAAAAAACCAGTAGAAATTATTGGTTGTAATGGTGCTTTTTTTAACTGCCTTTTATTTAAATTGCAAGTTGGGCAGAAACTGATAAAAATTTCAACAGCTTTATTTTGTTTGCATAACCCTCAATAATCTATAAAAGAAAAGTTAATTTATAAATACAGCAAGCCCCTACATTGAAAACTGAATCTTTAAAATGTAGAAAACTATAATATTTTAGGTAGTTAGTATTTATCTGAAGGTAGATAAAATTAGTACAATATCATATTTTCCACAGCATATAAAAAGTAAATATACCATGACTATCGCAATAGAAATAGCACAACAACACAACAAATATAGAAACGAGGTTGGCATTTTTTTGCTGACCTCAAACACTTTAAGGTCAGCAGTTAGGTCGGCATTGCCGAATGCTATTTCTATTTCTGAGGGCTGAATATGTAAAACTTTAACAAATGTTTTTGCAAAATAAAGTTAGGTTGACTGGTCTGCTTTTTTGCTATTACTCAAGTCCATTATCTTTTTTTGAAACAGATTTATGTATATATTTTGTATAACAATATACAATACAAACTTAAGTACAACTATATTTTTATTGTTTTTAATGTGTTTTGTGCTACTTTCAATATTCAGTTTTTGTTACATCCGAATGACCCATTTTTTTCTGAAATAACTGTAATAAAGTTTTTTATATTAAAAACAGTGCTGATCCTAGGTTTTAGGTAGTTTGCAGTAAAGATAAAATATTTTAAATTTTTGAGACTTCATAATAACACCGATTGGCTTGGCTCTAGTGTCAGTGACTCTGCTGGCATTAAGGCCCTCAACTTTTGCCTTTCTCAATCTCTAACTCAAATAGTCAACTTTCCAACTCGTTTTCCAGACAACCCTAATCATTTACCTTCTCTACTCGACTTATGTCTTGTTTTGGATCCTAGTCAGTGCTCAATTTCTCCACATTCACTCTTAGGTACTTCTGATCATGGTTTGATCTCTTTAAAACTATTATCTAATTCTTCTACTCCATCAGAATCCCCCTATCATCGTACCACATACAACTACCTTAAAGCTGACTGGGACTCTTTCCGTGATTTTCTTCGTGATGGCCCTTGGGTAGAAATCTTTCGTCTTCCTGCTGACAAATGTGCTTCTTACATAACTTCGTAGATTCAGGCTGGCATGGAATCTTTTATTCCATCTCGACGATTCCAGGTCAAGCCTCACTCTTCTCCTTGGTTTTCCTCACATTGCGCTGCAGCAATTTCTAATCGAAACCGTTACTTCCATATCTATCAGCAAAACAATTCTCCAGAAAACAGACATCTGTTCACTATTGCCAGAAACCATTGTAAAAAGGTTTTGTCTGACGCCAAAGCTCGCTATTCCCAGGTCATTAAATCTCGTATCTCATCACAAAAATTAGGCTCTCGAGACTTCTGGAGAATCTTTAACAGTATCAATAATAAGGGCAAATCTGTTATTCCTTCTCTCTTGTATGGTTCAGACTTTGTCACCTCACCTAAAGACAAAGCTGAATTGTTTGCTAAGAACTTTTCATCAATATCATCTCTTGATTCCACTAGTTGCGTTTTACCTGACATAGCCGTCAAACAGGTTGATCCCTTGCTTGACATTCGCATCACTTCAGCTTCTGTATCTAAAGTAATTTCCTGCTTAGACTCCTCAACAGCTTGTGGTCCTGACAACATTCCTGTTGTAGTCTTGCAGAGGTGTTCTCCGGAGCTTTCATCCATACTTTCTAAACTATTTAACAAGTGCTTATCAGAGTCTTGTTTTCCATCATGCTGGAAAGCAGCATCTGTTATCCCTATTTTCAAAAATTCCGGAGAGCGATCTGATTCATCTAACTACCGTCCTATTAGTCTTCTTCCTGTCATAAGCAAGGTTTTCGAATCTTTAATCAACAAACACTTAATCTCTCATCTTGAATCAAATAACTTACTTTCTGATCATCAGTATGGATTTCGGTCTTCTCGTTCTACAGCTGATGTGCTAACAGTAATAACCGATAGGTTTTACCGTGCATTAGATAGAGGTGGAGAGGTTAAGGCTATCGCACTTGACATTTCTAAAGCTTTTGATAAAGTTTGGCATGCTGGTCTTCTCCATAAGCTTTCTTCTTATGGTGTAGCTGGTAACGTCTTTAAGATTATTGAGTCCTTTCTTTCCAATCGTAGTATAAAAGTTGTCCTCGATGGACAACACTCTTCTTCACATCCTGTAACTTCAGGGGTTCCTCAAGGTTCAATCCTTGGCCCTATATTCTTTTTAATTTACATTAACGATCTTCCAGATATTCTCACATCTAAGGTGGCATTATTCGCTGACGACACTACCATTTACTCTTGTCATGATAAGAAGCCTACACTCTCTGATTGCTTGGAGGGGGTATCTGAGCTTGAAAAGGATCTCACTTCTGCTACAGCATGGGGCTCACAGTGGCTGGTGAACTTTAATTCAGATAAAACTCAATTTTATTCGGCCAATCGTTATCGTAATAATTTAGATCTTCCTATATTTATGAATGGTAATGTACTAGATGAGTCATCTACCATTCATCTTCTAGGATTAACTCTTACTTCTGATCTTTCTTTTAAACCGTATATCAAATCCATTGCAAAATTAGCATCTGCTAAGGTTGCATCTCTTTATCGAGCTCGACACTTTCTTACTCCAGATTCTATTCTCTATCTCTATAAACCTCAAATCCGTCCCTGTATGGAATACTGTTGCCACATCTGGGGCGGATCTTCTAATGATGCTCTTTCTCTTTTAGACAAGGTGCAAAAACGAATTGTAAACATAGTTGGACCTGCTCTGGCAGCCAATCTCCAACCTTTGTCAAATCGTCGTAATGTTGCTTCTCTTTCTCTTTTCTACAAATACTATAATGGGCACTGCTCTAAAGAGCTAGCGTCCCTTGTGCCATCTACTAAAATTCATTCTCGTGTTACTCGCCATTCAATTAAGTCTCATCCTTTTTCTGTGACTGTTCCTAAGTGCTTCAAAAACTCTTATTCTTCTAGTTTTTTTCCTCGAACATCAGTTCTTTGGAATTCGCTTCCTTCATCTTGCTTTCCTGATTCATATAATTTGCAATCTTTTAAGTCATCAGTCAATCGTTATCTTGCTCTACAGATTTAGTCTTTTCTCTTCCAGTAACTTCCAACTCTTATAGTGGTTGCTTGCAGCCTTGTTGGAAGTGAAGATGTTAAAAGAAAAAAAAAAAAAAGTTGCAGAATAATACAGAATGAATCAAAGACATTTTTATCAAGTAACATTTGCTAAATCTTTAAAAAAATCAACAAATAAGAAAAAAAATTGATTTTGGTTTTATAAAAATCAACAAATAAGAAAAAAATTTGATTTTGGTTTTATAAAAATCATCAAATAAGAAAAAAAAATTTGGTTTTTAAAAAGCTAAATCCTTTTAAAAATTGACAATTTAATTTTTAATTTTAATTAAAAATTAAATTATTTTTTCAAAAATTGAAACTTCACATTAGTGGAGTCATGTTCACTTACGGCTCTGACTGCCAATATTATGTCAACTGAAAATAATCTTTGTTCTGAGTTTTAAAATCATGCTTGCTCATATAAAGTAACAAGCATCACACTGTGAGACTATCTACCACATTTAAAAGCTGCTACGTTAGGATCAGGGTTTCCTTTTAATATTGCATTCAATTTAACATTCCATGCAACTAAACTGTTTAATATTTCATGCAACTACAGGCCTTGTTTTAAATAAAAAAGTGCT